TCTTTGCATGAGAGGACTCAGAATAGACTGCGCTATTAAACTGCTATCTCGGATTTTCGAAATGTTGAAAATTTCGAAAATTTAATATAATAAAATTCAAAATTTATATTTTTACATTTTTCCAAAACGTTTTTGACTTTTTGAAAAAAACCGGAATATATGTGATAGAACGCATTATTTTTAGTAACTCTAGCAAGTTTTAGCTAAAAATCTTCAAAAATGGCCAAGTTATGCGCATTATTGCAAAAAATTTACAATTATTAATTTTTCAAATCAATTTTTCAGCACGTATTTGACATCGTACGCCAATATAAACAGCACCATCGTGTTCCTGAGCTCAAACTGCATCTAATACACACCTTTTTTGTTGAAAAATTTTAGCTTCAAAATTGGACCTTTTTTGACCTGAAAGTGACCTGACCTATGCTAAATTCGACTCAAAATGACCTCGAATGACACAGACGACATCAAATTCGAAATCTTTGGCCTAAATGGACCATAAAACATGTGTCACGTGACCGACGCATGATATAATATTTTCGTGACCTGTGATGACCTGACCTTGACCTGAAAATCAAAGTACAAGTTTGGTACCCTCAGGGTATCTAGAGCATCTGTTCACGAGTGTGTGAACCAAAAATGAGCCTGATCTGACTTGTAAGACGGCGGCCAGAGCCCAAAACGTGAACAAATCAAAATGCTAATAATTTTTACTTTGACCTGACCTGTGACGTCATCGGTGACCTCAAGGTCAATGAAATTAGGTTTCGCTCAACAGTTTTTCCGGGGCTATCAGACGCCGTTTGAATTTTGACGATCGGCCCAGTAGTTTCGGAGTTAGGGGGGGCTATGAATAGCCCCCCCCCCCCCCCCAGTAGGGCGTGTTATACGCAGACCCCAGTGGGGCGCGGGTTAAGTGGCGCACTAGAGACCAAAACGAAGCACATGAGTTTGTTGTATTCGTAGCGCCGTTTGTGACACAGGTCATTTTAATGCATCAATGTTGCAATTTTCGTCGAAATCGGCCCATAAATGGCAAATTTATGGCCAAAACGCCTTACATTGAGAGTGCACATGGTCACTCGAGGTGGGGTGCCACGTGCCACGTGTGGCCTAAAGACATAAAGCGACCATCCTTTTGTACCAGATGAAAGGGGTCTTCAGTGCCCATGGGTAGACTTTCGGGTGCGCCACCATTGTCTCCCAGCGGCCGATCAAACTTGGCCAATCTTTAAATTAGGGCTTACCTCACTATCGGTCACAATATCTCCGGAATGGAGAACCCCGGGCGGCCACGTGTTTGACACGTAGTAGACCCAACACCAATGGTCATTATCGCAACCGACTTGGAACTCTGGCTCAAACCCATGCAGTGAGGTTATCACCTGAGCATAATTATGCACCAATGGCTACCTATCCCAAAATGCTATACCCATGTGGCGCACGTGCGAAAACACGTGCACCACGTGATGAGGTGTACAACTATCCTAGAGCATCCCCTTGACGACTGACCTCGATTGGTTCCGCTGGCACGTATTGTTTGCGCGGCACAGGCCATCATACCAGCAGTGGTCAAATTTTCACGGAGGTGGTCCCCTCAAACAAGTGCGGGGCGTGCACGTGCATTTCAATCGCCCCATATATGGCCTATGCCACCTGGTAGGCGACATGTGGGTGCATATCATACTGAAACATTTTTAATATCTAACGTGGAAATTTTGAGCAAAATCGATTTAAGTATTTTTTCAAGAAATCCCATTGACTTAAGACGTGAAGATTTGTGCGCGTGCCACGTGCAAAAAAGTTAATTATATTTCAAGCGATTGACATTGACGAACGAACCTACTGACCGACTACCGGTACTAAAAAAACAAAGAAAATCTATCGAGCCGATTTTGAGCAAATCGAGAAAACCCGTTTTGGCACATTTCGTAACGTTAAACCAATGGCGGCTGCACGTGCAATTTGCACCCCCTTCCCGAAGCTGCCCGAAACGGCGCCGCCGGCTCATGGTAGATGCCGGGGCGGCCACCCAGCACATAGAAGCCCATCGCATTACAAGCACCCGTCTGCGAGAAATGCGATGCCGAAAATCCACCTATTGTTGAAGCCTATGGGCCTAAAACACGTGCACGTGCCACGTGCAAGAAAAATAATAATAATCTTAGCTGAGGGTGTTTCGTGGTAGATAATCTGTGGGGGCAGCTGCCCTGAAAATTTAATCAAAATCTATCGGTTCGTGTGCAAACGGTGCAAGGTGCCCCAATTCGCTGCACCAAACACGAATCCTATCCCGAAATGGAAACACCCTCAGTTTGTTTTTCAATAGAAAAACACAATTCTAAAGAATAGTGTTTGTCTAATGAAGAAACAACCTTCGGGTACCATAGGTCGGCCGAAAATGACGCCAGAGTGACGTCATGTTCGGCCGATTTCGACGCAAAACATTGAACCACGGCAATCGCTCCCAAGAGCTCAGTTTTTAAGCTAGATCCAATTTCTTTGCATGAGAGGACTCAGAATAGACTGCGCTATTAAACTGCTATCTCGGATTTTCGAAATGTTGAAAATTTCGAAAATTTAATATAATAAAATTCAAAATTTATATTTTTACATTTTTCCAAAACGTTTTTGACTTTTTGAAAAAAAACCGGAATATATGTGATAGAACGCATTATTTTTAGTAACTCTAGCAAGTTTTAGCTAAAAATCTTCAAAAATGGCCAAGTTATGCGCATTATTGCAAAAAATTTACAATTATTAATTTTTCAAATCAATTTTTCAGCACGTATTTGACATCGTACGCCAATATAAACAGCACCATCGTGTTCCTGAGCTCAAACTGCATCTAATACACACCTTTTTTGTTGAAAAATTTTAGCTTCAAAATTGGACCTTTTTTGACCTGAAAGTGACCTGACCTATGCTAAATTCGACTCAAAATGACCTCGAATGACACAGACGACATCAAATTCGAAATCTTTGGCCTAAATGGACCATAAAACATGTGTCACGTGACCGACGCATGATATAATATTTTCGTGACCTGTGATGACCTGACCTTGACCTGAAAATCAAAGTACAAGTTTGGTACCCTCAGGGTATCTAGAGCATCTGTTCACGAGTGTGTGAACCAAAAATGAGCCTGATCTGACTTGTAAGACGGCGGCCAGAGCCCAAAACGTGAACAAATCAAAATGCTAATAATTTTTACTTTGACCTGACCTGTGACGTCATCGGTGACCTCAAGGTCAATGAAATTAGGTTTCGCTCAACAGTTTTTCCGGGGCTATCAGACGCCGTTTGAATTTTGACGATCGGCCCAGTAGTTTCGGAGTTAGGGGGGGCTATGAATAGCCCCCCCCCCCCCCCCAGTAGGGCGTGTTATACGCAGACCCCAGTGGGGCGCGGGTTAAGTGGCGCACTAGAGACCAAAACGAAGCACATGAGTTTGTTGTATTCGTAGCGCCGTTTGTGACACAGGTCATTTTAATGCATCAATGTTGCAATTTTCGTCGAAATCGGCCCATAAATGGCAAATTTATGGCCAAAACGCCTTACATTGAGAGTGCACATGGTCACTCGAGGTGGGGTGCCACGTGCCACGTGTGGCCTAAAGACATAAAGCGACCATCCTTTTGTACCAGATGAAAGGGGTCTTCAGTGCCCATGGGTAGACTTTCGGGTGCGCCACCATTGTCTCCCAGCGGCCGATCAAACTTGGCCAATCTTTAAATTAGGGCTTACCTCACTATCGGTCACAATATCTCCGGAATGGAGAACCCCGGGCGGCCACGTGTTTGACACGTAGTAGACCCAACACCAATGGTCATTATCGCAACCGACTTGGAACTCTGGCTCAAACCCATGCAGTGAGGTTATCACCTGAGCATAATTATGCACCAATGGCTACCTATCCCAAAATGCTATACCCATGTGGCGCACGTGCGAAAACACGTGCACCACGTGATGAGGTGTACAACTATCCTAGAGCATCCCCTTGACGACTGACCTCGATTGGTTCCGCTGGCACGTATTGTTTGCGCGGCACAGGCCATCATACCAGCAGTGGTCAAATTTTCACGGAGGTGGTCCCCTCAAACAAGTGCGGGGCGTGCACGTGCATTTCAATCGCCCCATATATGGCCTATGCCACCTGGTAGGCGACATGTGGGTGCATATCATACTGAAACATTTTTAATATCTAACGTGGAAATTTTGAGCAAAATCGATTTAAGTATTTTTTCAAGAAATCCCATTGACTTAAGACGTGAAGATTTGTGCGCGTGCCACGTGCAAAAAAGTTAATTATATTTCAAGCGATTGACATTGACGAACGAACCTACTGACCGACTACCGGTACTAAAAAAACAAAGAAAATCTATCGAGCCGATTTTGAGCAAATCGAGAAAACCCGTTTTGGCACATTTCGTAACGTTAAACCAATGGCGGCTGCACGTGCAATTTGCACCCCCTTCCCGAAGCTGCCCGAAACGGCGCCGCCGGCTCATGGTAGATGCCGGGGCGGCCACCCAGCACATAGAAGCCCATCGCATTACAAGCACCCGTCTGCGAGAAATGCGATGCCGAAAATCCACCTATTGTTGAAGCCTATGGGCCTAAAACACGTGCACGTGCCACGTGCAAGAAAAATAATAATAATCTTAGCTGAGGGTGTTTCGTGGTAGATAATCTGTGGGGGCAGCTGCCCTGAAAATTTAATCAAAATCTATCGGTTCGTGTGCAAACGGTGCAAGGTGCCCCAATTCGCTGCACCAAACACGAATCCTATCCCGAAATGGAAACACCCTCAGTTTGTTTTTCAATAGAAAAACACAATTCTAAAGAATAGTGTTTGTCTAATGAAGAAACAACCTTCGGGTACTGCCTCGTACGGCCCATGACACCATGTCATATGAATGAATTCTTAAGCGAGTTGTATTCCGTTTTAGCTCTCTCTATTATTGATAGCTTGGCTCCCACGTTCTATTTCCTCACAGAGGTTCTACCGGTACCACAAGCTGAAGTCGCTGCGGGCGGGCAGTGAGGCTCACGGTCCCTCCACCGCCGTGCCCTACTGGCACATCTTCAAGAAGGCGTTCCCGCAGCTATTGAACGTGTTCCTCGTCTTCTTCGTCACACTGTCCGTGTTCCCGACGGTGCTGGCAGGTCAGTGACCCCGCCGGTCAAGGTCAGGGGTCCCGGGGAGTGGCATGGTGGGTGGGTTGTTGGGAGATAGAATGTCGGATCAACTATCAAGTGATGTGGTTATGATGAAAAAGCCAAAGCTGTTTAATAAGTAAGTGTCCAGCCCGAGGTCAGGATGGGTTTTAATCGTGCTTAAGCTGGACGAGGACGTCTGTTCTCGACGCCATCACCTTTGGCTTTCGGTTGTTTGACCTATGATTCCCAGTTTCCTTTTCGCTGTTGGCCTTATGTTCTTCGCTCGTATCGCTCCAGTACATACAGTGATAGAAACGCCTGTCATCGTTTCTCTGTATATCGAGTTCGGGAAACTCCTGACCCATTCCGCTGTTCTTTTCGATCTCTTCCCGCGTAGTCCAGCCTGGACCACCGGTATGGCCCACCTGAGCTCATGTCTCGCCGTCGATAATTATCTAACATCTCTGTCTCTCCCTCCACCCAGATATCAACATGGTGGACGAGGACTTCTTCGTCCCGAAGCAGTACTTTGCCGCCGTGTTGTGTTTCTTCACCTTCAACTTCACGGCTATGCTAGGCAATCTGATGCCCAATCTGTTTGTGATGGTAAGTCCTGTGCAGCGAGCGGCACCGGTTTGATTCTACTCCAATCTACCTCTGCCATGATCGGTAGCTCTTGGCACCGGGCCGTGACGAGATGTCAGACTGTTCCCGAGTGCCGATGATTGTGGTGTTAGCCATCAGCTCCTATCGCTGTCCACGATGAGCGTTGATAACGTAATTGCTGTCGTGGGGATATTTTGGGCTGTCAAATGTCAGGTATGTTGGAGTAATCTCAGAAGTCTTGGCACGGTGGATTAGTGAATAACGAATGCAGCGTTAGCTCGTCTGTGATTGTGGACAAGACATAACTACTCGCTTTTTCGGCTTCGATTTGTGTTCGATGAGTAGGTACTGACACCGCTAGAAACTGCATATTTGTTCAATGTCCAGGGGTTATCGTATTCGGCGTGTTAACCGTTGTCCGGCAATTGTCTTCTCCGTTGCAAAGCATCTTGTGACATTTGAATCCCCTAATATCCCCAACAATCCTGACTCGAACCCGTAACCCGCAGCCGCACCCCTGACCCGTTCTCTAACCGCCCCGCTCTCCCGTCAGCCGACGCCGCGCTGGCTGTGGCTGCCGGTGGTGCTGCGGTTCGCCTTCATCCCCTACTTCGTGCTCTGCAACTACCTACCGGTGCACGTGGAGCGTGTGACGCCCGTCTACATCAACAACGACTGGGCCTACTGGGGCATGGTGGTGCTGCTCGGCCTCAGCTCGGGATACTTCTCGTCACTGGGCATGATGTACTGTCCCAGGTCAGTCAGACGGTGGGAGCGGATGGATGGGGGTTGGAGTGGAGGGCGAGATGTGGGGTAGAGGTAGTCCTAGTGGATAGGGTAGGGATTGGTGAAACTGCACAGGACGCAAAATATGGTCGATGAAGTCGATGAACGTAGATAACGGATATGTGGTATGCCATGTGAGGATGAAGCTGATTATAGCTTAGAGTTATAGTTGCAGTACATTTTATTACAAAGCCTAGATGGCCTAGTTTTGAGCTGCCATCAATGTGAACTAGCCGTTAATTTGATAGGTGATCTGTTCCACATTTCATCCGTCGTTTTCTACCCCCCACTAACCAAAACTGCCCCCATCCCCTAACTTACCGCCCCCTGTCTCTCTGTCCTCACAGGACGGTGGAGCCGCAGTTTGCCTCCACGGCCGGTATGTTCGGCGCCGCCGCGCTCGTCACGGGCGTCTGCTTGGGAGTACAGTTCTCGCTGGTGCTCTCCTGGTTCGTCCAAAACGTCAACTTTGCGTAGTCACGGCCGTGAGTGGCGACATCTATCCAAGATGACGCGCGGTGGCAAAACGCCTTTGCGCTGGCGGTGATCTTTACACAAGACGCTTCCTGTCGACAGCTGCCAGCAACCAGTCATAAGCTCCTCGCAGTGGTGTGCTTGCCTTTGAAGAGGACACTCATGCCCTCGTGGACTCGGCAGCCTTGCAGAAGTGGGCATACGGCACCTCGCTGGTGTTTTTCAAAGCCACGAAGCTTTGATGATGAGTGGCGAAGTGTTTCATGCATGGGAGGTGCCGCCAGCGCCCATTTGAGTCTCCTATAACATGGCCCTTGCGGTCTGACTTTTGCGCTCTTCTGACGGGGCAGCGAACTTACGCCACCCAGCGCGGAGTACCGCGTAACCGTAGTGCAATTACCGAGTGATTGGCGCCTCGAGACGACGCCGTATGGCGGATACAGCCGAGTGAGACTTTTGTTTGACGTTGCGGCGAGGAACGTCTCTGACTCGGGCGGATCTCGGCCCTCGGGCCTTCCGCCGCAGGGCAGCTACGGCAAGTCATTGGTGCGTGTGTGACGCGTGTTTACAGACACGTTTGTTGTGCTCGGTGGAGTGTTTCTGTTGTTTTGTGAGGGGCTCTGTTCGTATGGGCCCGGACGCGCTGCGTGCGTTATCTTTCTGTTACTCAATCGGCGCGCGGAGCTGATGCGACTGCCTGTTTCGCTGTTGTTTTGTTCTATGTCGGTGGCCGCTGAGTACCGGTGCCTTGTGACGTTTGGTCTCGGGTATGGAGGCTCGCGACTGGCCGCTTCCACGCGACTCGTGTTGTATGGATGTGGCGTTTCTGTACGGAATATCAAGACGTTTCTACAAACATCGTCTATTGGTGTCGAATGATGCGACACCAAACGAACAACAAACCACCTTATCGCTATACATTTTTTGCAAACACACAGAAACAAAGATACTCAAAATGTTAACACATGCGATGTAAAAACACTCAATGCGGTACATGTTTTCGATCGCACGATTGATCGTGTTTTATCAAATGCCAAACCCGCCCCAAAAATTGTATGCACTTCACAGGTCACGTGATGCACGTAAACCTGGGGTCATGGGTAACATGCTGCGGTCATTTCATCGGGAGGGTGCGTCACATGGTCAGTGGCCGCCCCCTTAAGTCGGTGTTACAAAACAGGAATACTCGCGTGACGCTTCAGAGCACCTGATTTTATAACGCAGTCATCATGCAGTCAGACCATAACATCGGACAAAGCCGTAGGCCTCGCCGATCGGCCCACATGACTGCTTGGAAGGCGCAAGCCAAGGCGAAGAAAACATCGTGAAATCCCATCCCATACACTTCCAGGAACAATCGCATGATATTCCCAACCCGGCCGTTCAAACAGATGGGTCACGTGATATAGTGATGGCTGACGATGTGAGGTCACATGATGTTGCCGGTGCCGCTGGACAGGTTGGCCATCAGTAGTTCCATCTTGTTGAGGAAGTTGCGGCCCTCCATCTTCTCCCATTTGATCTGTGGAGACAGACAACGTCAGGTATTGGTCAATAACACTTGGTACTACAGATGGCATTCGACACAGTCAAAAACAACGCAGCAACCGCGCGATTTAGGAACTATCCGACCAATCATAACACAATGACAGCGTACACACCACCCCCCGCTTAGCACTGCTGCGCTGCGCCCTCTCCTTCCTCCCCATATCACCCACCTGTCGGAAGGCTCCTCCGAGATGCTCCCACTTGTGTTCGGTGACCAGCGCCGTGGGGAAGAAGTCCCGTTTGGGCGACTGGGCCACACTGACGGCGACCGGCTCGCCGTGCGGCTGGCAGCGGACGGCCACGTAGCAGTGTCCGCCGGGGGCCGAGAGGACGCAGCTGGAGGAGGCAGCCCCGCCACCCGACTGGGCCGTCTGTGAGCTGTCCGAGCCGCCGCCGCCGCCGCCGCCGCCCTGTCCGCTGCTGCTGCTCTTCACCGTCCAGCCCATGATACGGCCCAAGGACTGGGCGGCCAGCAGGTTGTGCTGAGAGACCTGTGCAGAGACGGGGCGGCGAGAGAGGTGGGTAGTCAATGTAGATATGCAGTCGGGAATCGGGTTACCATCGGCCTATTACATAAGCCAGGTGCTGAACAGGTAAGCATGTAACCCCAAATGCGCATAGCTCGACAGCTGTAAATTTGGCCACCTCATGAACTAATCGTTGTCAAGTTGGACTCCGAACCTTCAGTATGAGACCTGTATACAGCCCCCACTTGAAAGTATGATGCTGCTCCCACCTGACAGAGTCTTTCCCACCTGGCACAGTATGATATAGTGCAGCTCCGAGGTCTCGTAACTGACGGTCATCACGCGGCCGTCACGGCACACACAGCGCAGAGAGTCCTCCAGTACGTTAATGAGGAAAGTGGTCCGGTGGACAGAGTCGTAGCCGTGCGTCATGATGTTCACCTGACGGGGAGGAGGGTGGGGTGAGCGGGCACGGGGCGGGAAGGCAGGCAGGGTCATAGACATCAAAAGGCGTAAGATCGTCACAGATCGTTCTGAATGACAAGCAGCTGAATGGCACAGAAGCAGACCAACTTCAATTCATCACATATGCATCAGACTTTGTACGAAATGTACCACCAAGTCATCAACCTTACACAAAACTGAATGTGTGAGATAGTGATTTGACCATCTTGAAGCAAGACTGTCTGTGTGAGTTGGAAACTAACCTTCCAAGTTCCAACACAACGGATGTGGGTGGGTGAGTTGGTGACTTACAACAAGTCTGAGCTAGTAAGTCAACTTAGTCACCAACCAAGCAGGAAGACTGCTGGCTGGACGAATTCGTGATTTAACTTACCTTACAGCACGACTGAGTGGGTGAGTTGACCGAGTTCCAGTGAGTGACGATCAGCGGGTCCTTGATCTCCCGCGCGCAGCTATCGATGGCGAACGCAGTGCGCATGCGCAGCACCACGTGACGCGCCTGGCGGATAATGCTCTCCAGTAGTGTCTCACTGTGTAATGGACGATGACGGTTAGAGGAATGAAGAAAGAACAGACCACTTACGGTATTAGGTAAGCTGATAAGAAATACACTAACAGACAAACGTAACGCATCTGAACGACCAAACAAATGCAGAATGCTCCACCTCAACATCCTCCCTCAACCCACTAAAAGATTCCCCTCCCTGCATGCCCAGCCCAATCCCTACCCACCTCTCCACCATTTTCAGCAGTTGTCCCCGCGAGGCAGCGCCCGGTCCCGCCTGGCGTCTCCTCTTGCTCATGCCCATGGGCGCCGAGGCCGGGTGCGGCATAGCGTGGTGCATGTTACGGTGGTGCATGTGCCGCAGCAGCTGGTGCAGCGAGTGCTCCAGCACGTAGTTATTGTCCCCCAGCGGGCCGGCCGGCACGGGCGGCAGCGGCGCGGCGGCCGGCCGCCGCTCGGGCCGGGCGCTGTGCGCCAGACCCATCACCAGGTGGATTCCCGGGAAGATGGTGGAGGTGATCTCGTTGCCGATGACCATGTGAGGCAGACGGGGCTGCAGCTGGACTGCCTCGCGCGCCAGCTGAGCGATCAGCTCCTTGCAGAAGAGCACGTTCTGGGCGGCGTCCAGCCGGTCGCTCCAGTGCTGTGACTGGGGTACGGGCAGAGGCGTGCTGCCGGGGTGGGTCAGACGCGCCGAGCACAGCGTCTCCTGATCTGTGGACAGACGGGGAGGGGAGGGTCAGGCCAATCACTTGTGATAATTTCTGCAGTGCCCTGGTGTGTATCGATAGATAAAGCGTGAGGAAGACTGATAAAATAAAGCGACTCCAAATTTGTGACTTGAATCTGAGAAGGTATGGCTCCCAATGGTTATGTAAAATGTCCTAACGCTTACGTTGTATGACTTATGATACACCAACATTTTCCGTCAGTGAGCACTGAGCAGTCAAACACCCACCCGCCCCCAGCCTACGAACCCGACAGATCATCAGAAACGCATGTCAAGCCCTGTGGCGGACACCAAGCAGCATAGTTTACACAGTAGCAGGTAGCTCTCTGATCACACTCCCGATCACTGAAACCCCTTGGCCACTCCCCTCCTCTCCCCGAGGGTCGTGCCGTCACCCACCTTTCCGGATTGTGACGTAGATGAAGGCGGCCCCCTGCAGCTCGCTGGGCACAGTGACGATGATGGGCGACGGCGGCACGGGCGGCAGGCCCGGGGCGGGCGGGGGCAGCGCCGGAGCGTTCTCCTCGGCCTTCTTCACCTCGAACGTGCCGGAGAGCCAGAACCGCGAGCCCACTGTAGAGAAGGGGGGAGGGTGTGGGGGCCAATGCTGAGATCGACACTGGTGTGGTGCAGAGCTGAGACCGGTGGAACAGGAGTTGTCAGCCTGCAGCCAATTGAGGAAACTGAGTCAAAGCATGCATTACCTAATGAACCAAGCACACAACTTTTATAGCTCTAGGTCGACAAAAAGCCGACTGTTTCCGTACCGACCCGTCAAAATCAGAGTTTGACGTTGCGCTTAATCCATACACGCTATGCCTTATTTGAATATTGAAGTGACAACATGAAACCACCACGGCCGCCCCTGGACGTACCCTGTTTGTAGCTGAGGTCCCCGATGATGTTGTTTCCGACCTTCCTGAGTCGCCACTTCTGTCTCAGACGCAGCAGCTCCGTGTAGAAGTCGTTGTTGTTGCGGTTTCGCCTCTGCTCCGCTAAGTTCTCCCGCATCCGCTCGGCACCCTCGCTCAAAATCTGCGCCGCCGCCGCCAGCCCCTGTCCAAGAAAAAGAAGTAACATGTTGTAGTGCCGTTACGAAAAAGTATTGATGAAATTGAAGAGCCGTCACAAGGTCGAATAATTTCGTCACTAGAAAACTTCTATGTAATTAAACTCCATAGCTAAAATATGATGAACAGATGGAGCTGTTCAGGAACAGACACCCGTACAAACTTGAAAGAGCAAAGGATATCGAAAAGACTACGAACATGGTGCATGATTGATCTGCTACGTTTTCCGATATCGAAATTTCTTTATACTTTTCCATACCTGCTATAGTTCAACAGAACAATATAATCACAACAGAGTCATATTCTCGCCTTTTTCTTGCTGATGACCTGGATGATCTGTTTGGGCTCGGGCGCGTCCTGTGTCACGCCGTCCAACACCATGTACCGCTTGTGGCGCGCGATACTCAGCACGTCCGAGAGCACACACACCTCCGTGTAGGCGTCCCTGGGGGAGGTGGTGAGGGGGTGGCACGTGAGGTGACGCTAACGGTGTTGGTGGGATGAGGATCGAGGGCATGGAAAAGGTGGCGGGACTTACGCGGTTGAAATAGCACATTTCTTAGCTTGTACATGCTTCTGCCATGTTTTTGTAAGAACATTTTCTAAGTAGAAATGGCATTTGCTTAGTTAACCGATAATGCAACGCAAGTACTGCTACACTCGAAATCATTCTCAATTCATTGTAAATACGAGCCAAATACATCGCAGAAAACTATAATCGTTTTTTATGACCCTGCCGAGCAGCACCACTCAAGTCGATCCATGAAAAAGGTTCATTTGGCAGTTCGTATCGTCACTAAAGAACTGACGCCCGCTCCATCCCCGTAGTTACCGTATTTTGTTTCGGACGCTCTCCCAGGGCCATGTGGGCTGCTGGAAGGTGGTGACCTGGCTGTCGGCGTCTCCGTCGCCCTCGGCGCTGCTCGGGGCCGCCTCGTCACCGTCTTCCTCCCCGTCCGAGCGACTCCAGTCGATTTTGGCCGCCAGACGCGCCAGGTTCTCCGACATGGAGAGCGGCCTGGTGGGGAGGGGGAGTATCAGTACATGGACTGAGGGGCGGTATTACCTGTGAGGAAAAAATTGCCAGGAAGCTCAAAGAAGAGCGTTTACACTGGAAGGATACTGCACTGCTGTGAAGAGTGAATACTGACAATGGTGAGGATTATATCTTATATGTGACAAAACTGAAATCTGAATGTTTTGATCATGATGACACACCAAAGGTTATTGTTTTGAGAAAGATAAATTGATGATAAGGAATTACATACTTTAACTTAAACCAAAGTGGAAAGAGCTTAGGGTAAAGGGACAACAAGTGGTCAAAACTTACAAGTGTGACAAATAATGAAAATAAGACAATAGGTAATGAAAAGACAACAACCATAGTGCTTATACACATCGCTACCATGGAAATGTGGTGAACTTCGAATAAAAGAAGAGGGCTCAGCAAAGTGAAGTGGGTTAACTTACGGCTGAGGAATTTCCCTTCCATCATAAGTTATTTCAAATATCTGATTCTCTTGAGGTGTCTCTATGCTTATCTTCGGCCCCGACATTTTTCGTAGCTAGCCTGCAAGTAGAAACAATAGTCAATACATCAGAGGAATGTTGGCACACATGACACAAAAGGTGTTGAAATAAAACTATGCAGATAGGATATTGTGGGGACACAGCATGATTAGGTAAGCTGTATGTGGTTTCCATGCATGCAGCATGAAGGCCTTTCCAGATAACCATGAGCAGGACTGTCTCATCACGATCACTATCTCCGTAATGTATCAGGGTACCCCCAGTAATATGGAATTTCAGCACGTTGATTGGGCGGTGGCTCCTAAGCTGACTGGTGGTGCATTGCATGTGTGCTGCAAGGGGATTAGTAATGGAATAAATAGCAGAATAAGTAAGCTGGTGCAGGGCCCTGGCTATACTTGAAAATAGTGTCTAAGTCATTAAAATATGGCTAAAATGTCATTTAGGTTTAATGCATATCTTGTTTTGGGCTATCATTTGATTCAATTTTAGAGCATTGTCCAATATGGCAGCCAATTGGAGAAACCGAAACCCTTGTTTAATTATTGGGGCTTTTGGGTGCATTGACTGCAAAGGTCATTTTGCACCCACTACGCCCACTGGGGGAGCCTTTTAGTTAGGTCATTTTCCAATAATTCCGTTGGACGGCATTACCACTGCTCGACCCTTCACGCCACTCACATCATGAGACCTCTCTTGGGCCTTACGGGCATTGGGCATACCTCCTGCATAGGGCTTTGGACCATAAAATCTAATGCAACTGCACGACAGTAAAACATGATTGACCATAAACCACTTACACTGGGTTTTATATATCTCTAAAAAATATCTAGTAGGGATATTTCACAATTCTGATTCTTTTTCAACAAACAGAGACGAAGAGATCTGAGATATTGATTCACACACAAATTGGCCACGTTCAATGCTACATCAGAATAGCCCTGGGCTTTATTGCCAGCACCCAATGTATATAAAAAATAATACAATACAATATAAAGTAAAAGAACAAGATAAAAAAATGTTTTTGAAACCGTTTGAAACAAAAAAAAATATGCGTCGCAAAGGCCGTAATGCGTCATTTATGAGAGGTGGGAAAGGCATCTCAGGTTCATACGTCACTCATTAGCTAATCTTGCGTCATTACATTTTCTCTGTTTGAAAAAATACGCATTTTCTCTGTTAATCTCCAAAAAATGAAAGAAAAATGAATGATAATAATCCAAGAAATATCCGGATGGCACTTTTTTGCTTTTAAATGGTTTTAAAAGATTTTTTCATTTCAACTTCGATTCTAAAATGTAATTGTGCCATATCAGCGAAAGCTACCAAATTGTGTAAAAGTTCTGTAAATCACTAAACCTTGGGCGTATTGGATATGTGCTTCACTGCTTCATATGCTTCGTCCATGGATTAGAGACAACTGGATGGGGCACTCCGGCGATATTAGCGTCACACCGCCGTTATGCGCATGCGCGAGGAACGTACACGACCGCGGCCTTGGCGCCTGTTGTAAACTCAATGGCGGAGTGCTTTGCGGCGATTGTTATTTTGCTTTTACGTGTGATTTAGCGCGTTTGAAGAAGGAGTTGGGGCGGTATATGATATATTGAAAGGTGAGGAATGCAGTGGAGGTGAAAGTTTGGTCTCAATAGCTATGTTTGGTGAGGAAATGACTTGTGTTCGGAACACGCATTCTCGGGTAAACACCACGGCTCAGTTAACTAATGTATTGGTCTATGCACATCGGCTCATTACACGCTAATACACTGACCGCCCATCAGGCCGGACCAACTGTCCGCCAGCTCATCCCTGAGCTCCCCTGGGTGAGCCAACCGCTCAGCCCCGAGCTCCACCCGCCGAGCCACCCGCTCAGCGACTGCCGCCGCCGGCGATGCGTCGCCTTATATAGGGGGGCTGGGCACCCGCCGACCAATCAGCGGCCGCCACGTCACCCACGTCACCAGCCGGCCGGGACTGCAGGTTGCAGCGCCGGCGCACGCTGCCGGCGGCCGATACGAACGGCCGCCGCTCCCCAACACACACCCCCCTACACAAAAGAGGTGTACGACCGCTCACATTTCTCAAGTATGTACAAAAACTTAAAACAACAAAGACCACAATGCACCACAACGACATAAACCGCGCACACACACACTAAAAGTAAACTTAACAATACGTTCTCGAGCGCTCGACAAATCGACACGTATGCGCAGCCTCCCTCAACAATCGGGTCCACCGCACGCTCCGGTGCGTGCGATTCACACAGCTCACGAGCCCCCCGCCTCATACTGTCCAGGGGGGCGGCAGAGCCGCCCGTGCCGCACTCGGTACGGCGCGGGCGGGCCGAGGGCGGCGAGAGGCGACTCGGGTCCCGCACCGCGATCCGGGTGATGCCGCGCGCACCACACGGCAGCCACCTCTCGTGGCAAACAGCACATTCGTTCACCATACGGTGTCAGGTGGTCGTGGTGCCCCATCTTGGCTTTACCGGCGCCGTCCCGCACTCGGTAGGTGGCGCCCCTCGGGCCCTTGTGCCGCAGGCCGAACTTTGGCTGCCCTCCAGCTGCTGCTCGAAAGTCGGGCTCGTCACCGGCTTTGCGCTCGAAGGGGCGTGTGGCCGGCTCGGTCTGCACCGGGGCCCTTGGAGGTGGGGTGGGCCTTTTCCGCCTCCCCGCTCGATCACTCTTACCTCCAAAGTCCAGGGCCCTGCCCCACTCTTCCGGCATCGAGGTGTTGCAAGGCGTCTGGTGGCTGAGGCGCTGTCTGGCGTGATTGCGCGGTTGGCTCTCTTCTTGCGCCTCCTGCGTGCCGCTCCACTCCACCGGACTAGCGTCCCCTGCGTCGCCGTCGACACCTGGACGGCTGGTGGCGCGTGCTTCTTCACCCGCCACATCGCCAGCCGAGTCGACCTCGCCGCTGGCCTGGGCGGTCTGCCGGTTAGGTTGGCCTGCGATGTCAATGCTGGGCGACCCGCCCTCGCATTGGCTCGTCCCGGACCCGTCGCGCTCGACCTGGTCCCCGCATGGGGTCACTGGGGCTGGCCAGTGTCGCCACTTGTCCAACCCTGCTGACTTGAAGACGGCCCGAGCGGTACAAGTCACGAGGGCCGCTGCCCGCGCGCAAACCTGTGAGCAGCGCCTCACCAAACCGGAGTTCGCGGTCCCTGACCGCTCGCGATGCCCGAGCTCATCGACCGGGGGACGGCAAGTGGATGGAGCCTCGCTGCCCGCCGGCTCTGACCTTACCGTACACACGATCGACGGTGTAAGAGGGCACCCTTGCCCCTGTCCTGTCGCACTACAATCCCTCGATTGTGTGGGCTGCCCTGCCGTAGGGGTCCCGTTGGGGGCAGGTGGGTCAGCCACCCTCCGCTGCCACTCACGGTCGCACCCCGCTGCCTGTGTGCCTCCCCGCCGCCGGTGCCCCATGTGTACCGTTGGGCCCTCCATCGACGGGATATCGGACGTGCCTACGGCCGCAGTCGCCGGGGCAGGCGGGCGTCCCGCCCATCGCTGGCCCCCACGGCCGCACTGGTGACAGATAGGCGTCCATCCGCCGGACTCCTCAGACGGACCACGGGGGCGCTCCGCCCACTCCAGGCCCGCCTGCTGATAACCGGGTGTGACGAACCGCCCCACCTGCTCGTTTGCGTGTGTGTGCCGCGCCGGACATTTGCGGACCAAGTGGTCGGGGCTGTTGCAAAAGAAACAGCGGCGCCCGCTACCCCGCCTGTTCGGGTTTGGTGGCCCTCGTTGGGGGTTCCTCGCCCCTGTCCCGTGCCCCGTGCGGTAGGCGTCCCGCCTTCCCGCCGTCTCAAGGGTTTGCAGAGCGCGCTGCAGCTCTCCAATTAGCCTCTCCAGCGCGTCCAGCCGCGCATTGCCGGGCGCGCCTCGGTCTTGCACCGCCAACGCCTCGCCCTCGCTGGGCGGGCGCATTGCTCGGAGTGCGTCCTGCTGCCTTTCGAATTTATCGGCGACCTTCACGGCTTCGATGAGGCTGGCCGGGTCCTTCGTCAGCACCCGCACCCGCAGCTGCTCCTCACGGAGGCCGCATACGAAGCGGCTGACGACAGTCGCTTCCACGGACGGGTCGCCGGCTCTCGCCCCTGGGTATGCCTCCCGGCCTGCCTGGCGCACCCTGTCGGCGAAATCGCGTGTCGCCTCACCGGGCTGCTGTCGGATGCTCGCTAGTTCAGCGTGCACCTGCATCGCGTTCTTTGCTGTGCCGAAACGGGCTTCCAACGCGGCCACCGTTTGCTGCAGGTTGCCTTGAACATCCTCCGACAGCGAGGCGAAGTAGTCCAGGGCGCCATCTTGAAGCAGGCTGACCAGGCCCCGCTGCCGACTCTCCTCCGAGAACGTGACCGTCTTCGCACGGAACCGCCGGTACCACCGACCCCATGATTGATTATTTACCCCCGTGAAATTTTCAAAGTTAGCTAAAAATAAAAGTTCTCTCTCCATGTTACGTTACTCTACTGAGCCGATTCAAAATGAAATAAAAATAAAAATTTACTTTAAATGGTGCAACCCAACGAATGCGTGTCCGCTAGTGTCCGAACCGTCCTACCGACCGCGCCAGTTGTTCAGAACACGCATTCTCGGGTAAACACCACGGCTCAGTTAACTAATGTATTGGTCTATGCACATCGGCTCATTACACGCTAATACACTGACCGCCCATCAGGCCGGACCAACTGTCCGCCAGCTCATCCCTGAGCTCCCCTGGGTGAGCCAACCGCTCAGCCCCGAGCTCCACCCGCCGAGCCACCCGCTCAGCGACTGCCGCCGCCGGCGATGCGTCGCCTTATATAGGGGGGCTGGGCACCCGCCGACCAATCAGCGGCCGCCACGTCACCCACGTCACCAGCCGGCCGGGGCCCTGTTTCACCGCCCGACGCTGCGCGCGCTGCAGCGCGCTGGGAGCTGAGGCATACCCCTGACGTCACTCGAATGACGTTGCGTGCGATCCGTTAGCTTATGGTAAATCGCGTTTGGAACAGAGACCTTGAAAAACCTAGTACCCATTGAACAGAAGTTTGAGGGGCCCTGTTTCACGGCGGAGCGCTGCAGTGCGCTGCGCGCGTCGGCGCGTTGGGTTCCCATGGCAATATCAACAAACCTCCCTCTGACGCTACGCTATGACGTCATCGCAAAACGCCAGCACCCAAGCGCCAGCACCATCAGCACGCTAGCAGCATTCGCACTCAAACCTCTGTTCTATCTGTACTGGGTTCTTTTGGACCTCTGTTCCAAACGCGATTCATCATAAGCTAACGGATCGCACGCAACGTCATTCGAGTGACGTCAGGGGTACGCCTCAGCTTCCAGCGCGCTGCAGCGCGCGCAGCGTCGGGCGGTGAAACAGGGCCCTGGACTGCAGGTTGCAGCGCCGGCGCACACTGCCGGCGGCCGATACGAACGGTCGCCGCTCCCCAACACTTGCTCTGAAAATAGCCCCTATTTGACAAGAAGCACAAATCGGTGTATATTTCTTTGATACAGCAGGCTAAGTGGATGTGAGGTAGTGTATTTTACTGAGAATTGTCCGGTGAATCGATTGATCGTAGAAATAAATGAATAATATAGCGGTACTAGGAGATATTCGCCTTTGAAGTGATGACTACAAATATGGCGCATATCGTTTATCACCGATTACACCTCTTTATTACTGGTTTAATAGAGTTTGGCTGACTACAAGTCAAGTACAAAATTGATGAATTAAAAAAAATACTTTAAGCACTCCTAGTAAGCCCCACATATATATTCTGAACCTAAACTACAAATTACAATACTAAACCTACACGTATGCACATATACTGCCACAACGAAAAGTATCCCGTCATGATCTTAAACATTTTAAAGCAACTTTTGACAATTTTTTTGTTCATGTAATGACTTTATATTTATTATTTCTCCAGTATAACAATATGGTCACATAATTATCTTCTACCACTTACCAGTCATTTTTATTATGAGAGGTTACGCTTGTTTGAGGAGCTTGAAAACTTCACACTTACGTTAATTGTAATAATTTATCATAAATGGTTCATAACATTTTGTAAGAAAAATTATACAATTTTCCAGCTGCCGGACATTGGTCACGTGACCACATTTTCCGTTTGACCTTGAGTTGGCACCAGATTTTGTCGACAAATGTGGCGCAGCTTATTTTACTGCATTATTTTAGGTACTAAATATTTAGACGTGTGGTGGTAAACGGTACCATGCAAATAATATCGAATCATCGGTGACATAGTTACCGTTGAAAATTGAATAGCATCAATAAAACACAATTCAACTATTATTACTCTTGTCTCTTACATAATCCATTGATTTTATTGTGTTTGCAGGCATAGTTAGAAACTGAAGAGCTGAGCTTGCAGCTCACAGTTGTTCTATTCTATAACTCGTAATGCATAAATCAGGCTACTGAGGGCTGCAAATTTGTTTCACTTATCTTTAATAACTTATAGCCTACCTTCATCAACCATTATCTGTAAGAATCTTGCATCAATCATCACCAGACTTATTAGTTTTTTTACATACCTAGTACACCCCGGCCGCGAGAGTGGGCGGGTACGACTCCCTCGCCCTAATTGAGCTAGCCTCGCGGGAAAAACAAGCATGTGTGCCGTTACGGGACCGGGGACGCAGCGAGTGATGCACGGTTTAAAAGTCTCAGGTCAACTGGTGGCCTCTGAGGGTCAGGTCAAGTGCCCCGAGGGCCAAAATACGATTTCGGGTTTTGAGAAATAACTTTGCAAAAAAAAAAACGGCGCAGAGTCGCGATTTTAGTACAATCATGTTTGTCATGCTCCGGTGCGTCAAATGGTACACTTTTGTTTGGGTGGGTTCAACATACGGTGTTCACATCGGGTCAAAGTCAGGTCAGAGGCACTCAGGTCACGAAGTTGGTCGGAGGAGGTTATATCGTATATCATTCGATTCGGTAGGTCTTCTCGAGTCCATTGGCGACTTTTCCGACTTGCCAGTTCAATTTTATCAGGAGTTATTAACGAAAAAACTTGTGTGACCTTTGTGACGTCATGAATGACGTCACGCAACGTTAAAGATGCAAAAGTGAAGCATTGGACATTGCAAGAAGTGCATGAAATTGCGATTCCATGTGCTTGAGCTAGGTTTAGATCAGGGCTGCGGAGTCGGAGTCGGAGTCGGAGTCGGAGTCGGTCGGAGTCGACAGTTGTGACCGGAGTCGGAGTCGGAGTCGGAGTCGATTTTAGAAACCCGAACTGGAGTCGGAGTCGGAGTCACCGAAAATCTGTCGACTCCGCAGCCCTGCTAGGTCTGCGGAGTCGGAGTCGGGAGTTGGAGTCGGTCGGAGTCGACAATTCTGCCCGGAGTCGGAGTCGGAGTCGGAGCTGGTTTTTGAAAGCCCGAGCCGGAGTCGGAGTCGGAGTCGCCGAAAATCCATCGACTCCGCAGCCCTGGTTTAGATCATTCTCGGCGTCAAAATTACAGTTTCCATATTTTCCTCATTGACTTGTAATGGTGACGCCACGCGATCGGCCTGACCTCATGTGACCTCTAGAAGAAATCCGAGATATGCAAGTTTTGAGACTTCTAGAGGATACTAGGTCCTGTAAGTATTATCTCACTGTGACAGCTCCTCTGGCACCGAGGGCATTGCGAAGTTTCGGTATTTTGGGACTATTGCAGAGGTTCACGTGTGACGTCATAAGTCCTAGTGATCTGACCTGAGACGGAAATGCAATTGGTTTCCAAAGATGCGTATGGAAGCAAAGATAAATTGTGCCAAATAGCAGCCCTCTAGCTGTAAGGTGTTTTGAGCTATCGCCAAAAGTCGTGAGTGGAGCGCTACCGACTCCTCCGGTCGGCCGTCGGAGGTTAGGAGGCGTGCAGGGTATCGGAAAACTACCTGGTACTTAGCGAATTTTGCCGATAAAAATACGTTTCTTATGCCGACTTATAGCCAAAAGACGACTGAATCTCAAACCAGTCGTATCCTTGCACTAAATGGCTTCGTTTAGACACGATAGGTCTGAAAAGAAAAGGTCCCATGTATTCTCTATGGGCGCCGCGAGGCCGTTGGCACCAGAGTTTCGGGAAGTGCCCTCGCCACAACCGCACGTGCAGATTTGGTCACGTGACCAAGCGCATTTGCCGCCACTGTATTTATATACACTGTGCAATTTTCATGTTCAGTTATCAGCTTGACCTTACAATTAAAAATGAAATGATTGCATCTATTAGCAAATATACAAAGAGTTACCTACGGTCGTCAAGCTAGATGTAAGCGAATCCTAATCTATAATCTAAGATTCGGATTCAGGCGAGCCCCTACGATTTGGACCAAACCTGGTCAGTAAATAGTACGTAACGTCCTGATTACGATGCATCCAAAATCTAAGCTCGGCCCGCCATATTTACGAAGTTACGGAGGTTTGAATTTCAAGGTCATTCGGGAGAGCCCCTACGATTTCCGTCAAAATTTGTATACGGACACTCTAGATGCTTCTCATTACGAATATCACAAAATTTAAGCTCGGCCCGCCATATTTACGAAGTTACGGAGGTTTGAATTTCAAGGTCATTCGGGAGAGCCCCTACGATTTCCGTCAAAATTTGTATACGGGCCCTTTAGGAGCTCCTTATTACGAATATCACAAAATTTAAGCTCGGCCCGCCATATTAACGAAGTTACGGAGGTTTGAATTTTAAGGTCATTCGGGAGAGCCCCTACGATTTCCGTCAAAATTTGTATACGGGCCCTTTAGGAGCTCTTTATTACGAATATCACAAAATTTAAGCTCGGCCCGCCATATTTACGAAGTTACGGAGGTTTGAATTTCAAGGTCATCGTAGCGAGCCCCTACGATTTCCACCAGAATCTGTACATGTAAACACTACATCGTCCTTATTAAGAATATCATAAAAGTTAAGCTCGGCCCGCCATATTTACGGAGTTACGTAGGCTTGAATTTCAAGGTCATCAGCCCGAGCACCTATAATTTTCGCCAAAATTGGTATGCAGGTTTTCAGGGGTGCTGAAGAACTTGATTTCGTAGGTATAGTGTGTTTTGGTGTGAGTTATTGTAATTCTAATCTTTTGCACATTGCCTGATTTGCGACACAACTTACAAAATTGAAATAGCAGTTGTAAGTAGTGTCAGTGTCGCAAGTTGACCTTGCCTTGGGGAAGAGCTCACAGGTCATTCGGGTCATTGTCTCGAAATTTACGTGGTACGTGTAAATTTGTTTGAACTTGAGATCCTGAAAATTTTGTTGCAATCCGTTGAGGCTAACGCAAGTTATAGAGCTTGAACTGACAGGTCGTCTATGAGGCCTCCATCCATGCCAGCGAGAGTGTTGAAAATGGTGCGTAATATGCTATTTCACATTTATTGGGGTATTCAGGGATTGGAAGTAGCCTAACACCATTCCAGCAACTTGAACTAGGTACTGGCGAATCCAGAGGGGTGTTCACGGGCACCGCACACTGCTGCGTGCAGTGTGTGCGGTGCGTCCAGCAGGCGTGGGGGTAGGGGATGGGTAGGTGGTTCTGACGTCACGGCTGCGTGCGGTGGATGGTCCGCTGTGGCCAGTCCCGACCGGCCACAGCGATCGCTGTGTGCGGTGACGGAAGGCTGACGTAGGGACGCAGTGGGCGGAGCTTCGAGGCTGTGTGCGGTCCGACCGCACACAGGGCCCGTGAACAGCCCTCAGAAAGACGGTCTTGGACGTTGCAAGGGTCATCCCCCAAAAATTCTCCCGATTCCAAAAGCGTGTCCCAGATGACCCCCATGACCTCCAATGAGCTCTGTGATGACCCCAAGTTGACCTTTTTGACCTGACGTGTCCCAGATTACCTCCGTGACCTCCAGTTTAGCTCTGATAACTCCAAGCTGACCTCTGTGACCTGGCGTGTCCCAGATAACCTCCATGATCTCCAACAGAGCTCTGTGATGACCCCAAGTTGACCTCTGGGACCTCACGTGTCCCATATGACCTCTGTAACCTCTAAGTGATCTCTCTGATGACCCCAAGCTGAACTCAGACACCTGACATGTTCCAGAAGACCCCCAGTTGAGCTCTGTGATGACCATAAGTTGACCTCTGTGACCTGACGTGCCCCCAAGTTGCCCTTTGCGACCGACGTGTCTCAGCTGCCTCCGTGGTCTCCAATTGAGCTCTGTGATGACCCCAAGTTGACATCTGTGACCTGACGTGTCTCATATGACCTCTGTAACCTCTATGTGACCTCTATGATGACCCCACGTTGACCTGTGTGAGCTGATGTGTCCCAGATGACCCCCATGATCTCCAACAGAGCTCTGTGATGACCCCAATTTGACCTCTGTTACCTGATGTGTCCCAGATGACCTCAGTGACCTCCAATTGAGCTCTCTGATGACTCCAATCTGACCGCTGTGACCTGATATGTCCCAGATGACCTCCAATTGAGCTCACTGATGACTCCAAGTTGACCTCTGTGACCTGACGTGTCCCATATGACCTCTGCGACCTCTAAGTGACCTCTCTGATGACCCTAAGCTGACCTCTGTGACCTGACGTGTCCAAGATGACCCCCATGGCCTTCAATCGAGCTCTATGATGACCCCAAGTTGACCTCTGTGACCTGACATGTCCCATATGACCTCTGTGATCTCTAAGTGACCTCTCTCATGACCCCAAGCTGACCTGTGTGGCCTGACGTGTCCCAGATGACCTCCGTGGTGACCTCCAATTGAGCTCTGATGACTCCAAGCTGACCTCTGTGACCTGATATGTCCCAGATGACCTCCAATTGAGCTCACTGATGACCCCAAGTTGACCTCTGTGACCTGACGTGTCCCATATGACCTCTGCGACCTCTAAGTGACCTCTCTGATGACCCTAAGCTGACCTCTGTGACCTGACGTGTCCAAGATGACCCCCATGACCTTCAATCGAGCTCTGTGATGACCCAAGTTGACCTCTGTGACTTGACATGTCCCAGATGACCTCCGTAACCTCCAATTGGGCTCTTTGATAACCCCAAGCTGACCTCTGTGACCTGACGTGTCCCAGAAGGGCCCCAATTGAGCTCTGCGATGACCATAAGTTGACCTTTGTGACCTGACGTGTCCCATATGACCTCTGTGACCTCTAAATGACCTCTCTGATGACCCCAAGCTGACCTCTGTGACCTGACGTGTCCCAGATGACCCCCATGACCTTCAATCGAGCTCTGTGATGACCCAAGTTGACCTCTGTGACTTGACGTGTCCCAGATGACTTCCGTAACCTCCAATTGAGCTCTTTGATGATCCCAAGCTGACGTCTGTGACCTGACGTGTCCCAGAAGACCCCCAATTGAGCTCTGTGATGACCATAAGTTGACCTCTGTTATCTGACATGTCCCTGATGACTTCCGTGACCTTTATTTGAGCTCTGATGACTCCACGCTGACCTCTGTGACCCGACATGTCCCAGATGAACTCCAATTGAGCTCTCTGCTAACGCCAAGTTGACCTCTGTGACCTGACGTGTCCCAGATGACCCTCAATTCAGCTCTGTGATGACCCTAAGTTGACCTCTGTGACCTGGCGTGCCCCCAAGTTGCTCTTTGTGACCGACGTGTCTCAGATTGCCTCCGTGGTCTCCAATTGAGTTCTGTGATGACCCCAAGTTGACCTCTGTGACTTGGCGTGTCCCATGTGACCTCTGTGACCTCTCTGATGACTCCAAGTTGACCTCTGTGACATGACGTGTCCAAGATGACCCCCATGACCTTCAATCGAGCTCTATGATGACCCCAAGTTGACCTTTGTGACCGACGTGTCTCAGATTGCCTCCGTGGTCTCCAATTGAGTTCTGTGATGACCCCAAGTTGACCTCTGTGACTTGGCGTGTCCCATATGACCTCTGTGACCTCTAAGTGACCTCTTTGATGACCCCAAGCTGACCTCTGTGACCTGACATGTCCCAGATGAACTCCACTTGAGCTCTCTGCTAACCCCAAGTTGACCTCTGTGACCTGACGTGTCCCAGATGATCCTTAATTGAGCTCTGTGATGACCTTAAGTTGACCTTTGTTACCTGACGTGCCCCCAAGCTGCCCTTTGTGACCGACGTGTCTCAGATTGCCTCCGTGGTCTCCAATTGAGTTCTGTGATGACCCCAAGTTGACCTCTGTGACCTGACATGTCCCATATGACCTCTGTGACCTCTAAGTGACCTCTCTGATGACCCCAAGTTGACCTCTGTTGCCTGACGTGTCCCTGATGACCTCCGTGGCCTTTATTTGAGCTCTGATGACTCCAAGCTGACCTCTGTGACCTGACATGTCCCGGATGAACTCCAATTGAGCTCTCTGCTAACCCCAAGTTGACCTCTGTGCCCTGACGTGTCCCAGATGATCCTCAATTGAGCTCTGTGATGACCCTAAGTTGACCTCTGTTACCTGACGTGCCCCCAAGTTGCCCTTTGTGACCGACGTGTCTCAGATTGCCTCCGTGGTCTTCAATTGAGTTCTGTGATGACCCCAAGTTGACCTCTGTGACTTGGCGTGTCCCATCTGACCTCTGTGACCTCTAAGTGACCTCTCTGATGACTCCAAGTTGACCTTTGTGACCTGACGTGTCCCATATGACCCCCATGTCTCTCTCTCTCTCTCTCTCACTCTCTCTCTGTCTCTCCTCTCTCTCTCTCTCTCTCTCTCTCTCTCTCTCTCTCTCTCTCTCTTTCTCTTCACGTGCCGGTGTCGCGGATCCTATAGGCAAATTTTGTACATACCAGTGTTGATCCCCAGTCTCTGACCGGACATGTATTTTTCCTTCCCGCAGGATGCCGGCGGCGGTGACGACAGTGCGCCGGCGCACATCTCTATGGAGGTGGACACGGCGACCCGTGGACGACCGCCGCTGCCGCGGTTTGCTACAGGTGGCCATGGCCACTAATCTGTTGGAGGAGGCGCCCCCGGCACAGGTCCCAACCGCCGGAGACGCGGCAGAGACCGGGCAGTGGGCTGGCTTCCAGTCGCAATGCGACGCGGTCGTGACAGCGTCTCAGTGCACAGGAGCCGCGGCTGTGGACGATTGTTGAGAGACGGCGCGGGGCACCGATAGAAGCTTGTCTGCTGGGCATCAAATCCTGTCTGCTGGTGGTATATATGTAATGCCGCGTAGCCCGGTGTCCGTGATGATCTTTTAAGGCTGAGCTAAGCTACACTAAGCGTGACCGTCCAGGAAACTAAAAAGCACCCACGTGTACTGCGTGCTCGTGCTCACTGGATTTCCTTGATACCGGCTTCTACGATTATCCATATTTTCCTTGAGCTACCGTATGCCCACATAAGCGTGATAACGAGCGAGTGCCATGCCGATAATACGATATGTATGAACAAGAATATCTTGTGATTGAAATTGCACAGCGATGCACTACCGAAGTTCATCGCTGAAAATTGCATCTAGACCTGTGTAATTTCTTTCTGTTAGCTCGACAGTAGTTTCGGTAGCAGACAGTATGTAGACTACTTGTGTCTTGTAGACAGTAGAGCTCGTCTTGACGGCGAAATGTCATTGTCCAATTTTTCACTGTCCGGCGTCCGCGGGATGACATTAACACTGTATGTCACGCCGTGCACATTATGAGCTGACCTTTCCGTGACCTCTCAATGGTAGCCCGCTACATAGCCATGAGGGGTCGGTGTGTCTGTCGTTAGGCGTCCCGGCCGGTCCGCCGGTCTCCGGCTGTCTGGGTGACGAACGGCGTCTGTGGCGACCCCGCGTGGGACGCACCAGCCGCTGGCTCTCCAGCAGACGGCGCACGACCTGGGTGTTACCCGTTGCCATTATCCATTATCCATTAGCAATCTACATGTGCCTATGTCTGTTTTCGTTGTGAATAAATGTTTGCATTGACAAGCGAGTTGAAACATCTTCAATCGCCCAGTGTCATTCGATGCAATGCCCGATCACATGCCGTCGAAAAGGTTATCTCACTCCACGCTTGGGCTCCTAGATTTTCGCGCCTGATGGGGGAGGGGCTGAACCGTGAACCCCCCCAGTGAAGGGGCTGAACAGCCCTCCATCCCCTCGATTTCAACTCAGCTCCTTGACTAGATACGTGTGTTGGTAGTATTAGAACGAGTATTAGAACTCTACCTGAGACGAGGCCGCTTGAAGTACCTGGTGCCCTCACCCTGCTGACCTTGAAAGACACGAGCCTAAACTTTTAGTGTAGCACAGATGCATGCTAAGGCGTGCCAAAGAACGGCGGCGCTACCGTCTGATCGCTTTCAAAATGACCTCACTCTATTTCTCGTCAAAAACTGTAGCTTGATCACCACGATTCTATATTTACTTTGAAACTGAACACGCCCAGCGCTGGCACACACGCGGAGCGGCTTCACATGCGTATACACTCGGTCATCACATGTGGGCATTACACGAGGCCCGGCCGAACAGAACTTGGTGCCGCTAGCGGCCTGGTAGTGCACGGTCAGGCACGGCTCGAAGCCGACGCCATTGACGACGGCCAAGTGCTCCATGTCCTTGACTAGCTGTGCGGGACCGATGCGGTCCACGAAGCGGAAAGGTCCGCCGGTGAGTGGCGGGAAGCCGAGACCCAACACGCTGGCTTCGAGGTCGCCACGTCGAGACCTGTCAAAATGCGGTGCACTTAAGGCCTACAACTGAGGCAACCACAATCACGAGTCAGGAGTCAGGTTAATAGTGGCAATACGATTCATATAAATAGATTGAGCTAAATAAATCAGGCTATGAACTGAATAATTCGAGTCACATCCACCTTCCCAGCTAGCAATGTGAATCTCTCACCGACGTCGGGCTCGTCTTCCATAGCCTGTTCGGTGAGCCCCAGAAGCCGGGCGCCATCCACAGAGCGGGCGACGAACGCGTCGGCGTACTGGGCCAGACCGAGAGAGCGCAGCCAGCCGCCCACCGGAACGCAGCTCCATTCAGAGACCTGACAAAGAACGGAACGGTCACTCTACCTGTACCATAACATTGCAATATTTTCACTGTCCACGTAGCCATCGGGAGTCGGTGTGCCGAACCCTACCTGTGTGGTAGCAGCGCGAAGCGGAGCGCTGGGCGTCGGGTCCACCACGACCGGCGCCGGCACTCCCACCGGCCACAGCATCACGGCTCAGTCTTAACAGCCTAATATCAGCAAACATCCGTCTCTAGAAAACCAGCAGCACGTGACGTACCGCTAGTAGCCCTGTAGTGCTCGCAGCAGCGTCAAGCTCTCCTGGCGACCGACGAACAATGGACGGTCAAAGAAAGTGAGGGCAGGAATATGGTCAGGGTGGGATCAGATATACAACTTACGGGAGCTGACAGGAGCTGCCAGGAGCCTACGGCAGCTGTCATGAGCTGTCATGAGCTGCCAGGAGCTAAAAGGAACTTACGGGAGCTGCAAGAGGTCCACGGAAGTTGACAGGAGAAAACAGGAGCTTACGGGAGCTGCAAGGAGCTTACGGGAGCTGACAGAAGCTGACAGGAGCGAGGTTACAGCTAGGCGAGGTCACAAAAGTCGGTATAGGTCACAGGAAAACAAAAGAATGTCACAGGTAGTCACACGAAGACGACGAGGTCCTACGAGGTCACAGGAAGTCAGGCGAGGGTGGGAGAAGCCACTCAAAGTTCAGCGAGATAAAAGGAGGTTGAGGAAAGCTCACGTGGTCATGCGAAGTCTCTAGAGGTCATATGAGATCACAAAGAATCAGTAGAGGTCAGATGAGCTATAATAAGTCTGGCGACGCCCCACAAAGTCAAACAAGTTTTTTCTTGTCGTGAATGACGTGTGAATGAGCTAGTGTGTGTGAGGAGAGGTGCCATGAAATAAGCTGAAAAGCTTTTGCACCGATCCCGGACTGTAGTGTATGATGTCTACGCATGTGAAAATATTCAATAAAACCGAGCAAACAAAACAAACAAAACAAGATCACGCATTGTCCTACGGTCGGGGAGGTCACACGGAAGTTAGGTGAGGTCACATGAGGTCATCGCAATCAAGCGGTTTCACTTACATACTCATGTTACTTCCCCTTACTTTGCGTGACCTCGTGGGTCATCACCCGACAACTGCCCTCCCAAGTGCTCAGATACCTATCCATCTCGCCCCACCTGCGGACGAGTATTGGCGCCGCAGGACCCACCTGGTGAGGGAGGCTCCGTTCGGAACTGTCTCCGTGTCCGTCTCGATCCGGGCTCGCGGCGGTGACCAGCGCGTCCTCTGGCGCGTCACCAGTCGCAGCAGACCCGACGTCAGACGACGCAGCTCTGGCAACGCGGTCTGCATGCGGCTCCAGGTGGCGCGCTACCGAGAGCGCAGACTCCGTCACGTGGCGCCCGCAGCTGCCACCCGCCACCAGGCAGGCGCCGTCCAGGGCCGCCACCAGCTGCTGCAGCTGGGTCAGCAGCTCGGCCTCCCGGCGCGGCCGGCGCAGGGTCGGCGGACGCAGCGACAGCGCGCCGTCAGCCAGCGGTTCCAGCCGGGTCAGCGCCGGCAGGTCCTCGGGCGGCAGCTCGCGGCACACATTCTCCTCGGCGGCGGCACTGAGATCGCGCACGGCGCGCTGGAGCACTGAGAACTGGTGGGACGACGGGTGGTACCAGTCCCGCGCACGACCGGCACACAGCGCAACGAACTCGACCGGAAAACGCACACTGTCACACGGTGCATATCCCGTCACTTGATTCGACGGGCGCGTCCTCACATCCGAGAACCGACTGGCGTTCACTGTCAGAAGTTCGTGACAGATTAGTGGCCATGGCCACCTGTAGCAAACCGCGGCAGCGGCGGTCGCCCACGGGTCGCCGTGTCCACCTCCATAGAGATGTGCGCCGGCGCACTGTCGTCGCCGCCGCCGGCATCCTGCGGGAAGGAAAAATACATGTCCGGTCAGAGACTGGGGATCAACACTGGTATGTACAATATTTGCCTATATGATCCACGACACCGGCACGTGAAGAGAAAGAGAGAGAGAGAGAGAGAGAGAGAGAGAGAGAGAGAGAGAGAGAGAGAGAGAGAGAGAGAGAGAGACAGAGACAGAGAGAGAGAGAGAGAGAGAGAGAGAGAGAGAGAGAGAGAGAGAGAGAGACAGAGAGAGACAGAGAGAGAGAGAGAGAGGAGAGAGAGAGAGATGGGGGTCATCTGGGACACGTCAGGTCACAGAGGTCAACTTGGAGTCATCAGAGAGGTCACTTAGAGGTCACAGAGGTCATATGGGACACGCCAAGTCACAGAGGTCAACTTGGGGTCATCACAGAACTCAATTGGAGACCACGGAGGCAATCTGAGACACGTCGGTCACAAAGGGCAACCTGGGGGCACGTCAGGTCACAGAGGTCAACTTATGGTCATCGTAGAGCTCAATTGGGGCCCTTCTGGGACACGTCAGGTCACAGAGGTCAGCTTGGGATCATCAAAGAGCCCAATTGGAAGTTACGGAGGTCATCTGGGACATGTCAAGTCACAGAGGTCAACTTGGGTCATCACAGAGCTTTATTGAAGGTCATGGGTGTCATCTTGGACACGTCAGGTAACAGAGGTCAGCTTGGGGTCATCAGAGAAGTCACTTAGAGGTCGCAGAGGTCATATGGGACACGTCACGTCACAGAGGTCAACTTAGGGTCATCAGTGAGGTCAATTGGAGGTCATCTAGGACATATCAGGTCACAGAGGTCAGCTTGGAGTCATCAGAGCTCAATTGGAGGTCACGGAGGTCATCTGGGACACGTCAGGTCACAGAGGTCAGCTTAAGGTCATCAGAGAGGTCACTTAGAGGTCGCAGAGGTCATATGGGACACGTCAGGTCACATAGGTCAACTTGGGGTCATCAGTGAGCTCAACTGGAGGTCATCTGGGACACGTCAGGTCACAGAGGTCAGCTTGGGGTTATCAGAGAGCTCAATTGAGGGTCATCTGGGACACGTCAGGTCACATAGGTCAGCTTAGGATCATCAAAGAGCTCAATTGGAGGTTACGGAGGTCATCTCGGACAAGTCAAGTCACAGAGTTCAACTTGGGTCATCATAGAGCTCGATTGAAGGTCATGGGGGTCATCTTGGACACGTCGGTCACAAAGGGCAACTTGGGGGCACGTCAGGTCACAGAGGTCAACTTATGGTCATCGTTGAGCTCAATTGGGGCCCTTCTGGGACACGTCAGGTCACAGAGGTCAGCTTGGGATCATCAAAGAGCCCAACTGGAAGTTACGGAGGTCATCTGGGACATGTCAAGTCACAGAGGTCAACTTGGGTCATCACAGAGCTTTATTGAAGGTCATGGGTGTCATCTTGGACACGTCAGGTAACAGAGGTCAGCTTGGGGTCATCAGAGAGGTCACTTAGAGGTCGCAGAGGTCATATG